AACAGACAACCTACAATATGGGAAAAAATTTTTAGCAGCTGTACCTCAGACAAAGGACTACTATCTAGAATATATAAAGAATTGAACTTTGGGCCGGGGATTTAGCTCAGCGGTTCCAGTGCCTGCCTTGCAAGTGCAAGGTCCCGAGTTCAATCCCTGGTACAAAAAAAAAAAAAAAAAAGAATTGAAAAAAATCAGACCCCCCAAATTCAAAGACCCAATTCAAAAATGGGCATCTGAAATGAACAGACATTTCTCAGACAAAGAAGTAAAGGCAGCAAACAAATATATGAAAAAATGTTCGACATCACTCGTCATTCAAGAGATGCAGATGAAAACAACACTGAGATTCCACTTCACCCCACAAAGAATGGCTGCTATCAAGAAATCAACAAATAACAAATGCTGGCGGGGGTGTGGGGAGAAAGGAACCCTTCTCCATTGTTGGTGGGAGTGCAGACTGGTGCAACCACTGTGGAAATCAGTATGGAGATACCTCAAAGAAAGGACTGGAGGTCCCATCTGACCCAGCTATTCCCCTGCTGGGGATCTTCCCCAAATAATTAAAAGAATCATACCACAGTGATATATGTGCATCCACGTTCATAGCAGCACAGTTTATAATAGCTAAAGCTTGGAAGCAGCCCTAGTGCCCATCAACTGGAAACTGGATAAAGAAAATGTGTTTTTTTTAATAAAATGGATTACTATTCAGCCATAAAGAACGAAAAACTAGAGACATTTACAGCTAACTGGATGCATATCGAGGCCATACTCTTAAGTGAAATAAATAGGACACACATGTGTAAATACCAAATAGTTTCACTAGTGTGAGAAACTGAAAGTGTAAACAAGGGTTAAAATGATTAAAATGAATAATTGATAATTTGAAATAGGAAAAAAGGTCCAAAGACGAAGGAGTGAAGGGAGGGGAAGGGGAAAGGAAAAGAGGGAAAGGAAAAACTATGAGAAAAGAAAAAAAAAAGGAAATGAAGTCTACGTAAATAGGGAAGGATGGAGGCGGTGAAGGGCGCACAGGTAATGGGGAAAAAAATAAGAACCAAGATACATCATGTTCAGGTACAAGCACCCAATGATAAATGTAAACAAATTGAATACCTAAAATGTGCCAATAAAAGAACAACAACAACAAAAAAATTGTCTTTTGAGAACCAAACAATAAGATCAACATGGGTGCAATAAGTTGCTTGAAGGAAACAAGATAGCTCCGAGTTCTCCAAGGACCCACCAGCGTGGAGAAGAATCCCACTCGATAGAGCTCATGGGTCTGGTCCATAGTTATTATTTTTTAATTATTATAAATGTTTATCATATATACTCAAATATAAGATGAAATTTTTTTTCAAAAAAAGTGTCCCTTAGTAAAGGGGAAGTAGCCTTATTTTTAAGACTTTTTTGACTTGTTGGGTGAGTGAAAAGAGATCTAGTTTATTCTATTGTCACGTGACTGTATATTTTCTATTTCAAATAAAAAGTTTTCAACCCTGATTTCTTCACAGTTCTATGCTGCTTCTTGTTTGTGCCCTAGGAATGAATTTTGTAAGTAACACAGTACCTGCTATTGACAGTTTTGGAGATAACAAACTTATCAGTTCTTACTTGTCATTCCCAGACAAGAAACTGCAAAACACTCGATATGAAGTGTGTTATAAGTGCTAAGCTGATATAAACTCTATAATCATGATCTCAAGACAAAGACTGAAGCCAATAAGGCTGACAGCCAATACTTTGTCTTTTATGGTTTAAACCCCTCCCTAAGCTCCTTAGGGAGCCCATTTCTTTTTTTTAATTTTTAAAATTAATTTTATCGGTACATTTTAGGTATACAATATAATGACATTCATCATTGGAAATGTGCACCATTACATAATCTCTCTTGGTTCTTATTTTTCCCCTTCCCCTGTCCTCCCTTGAACCCCTCCATCCCTCCTTATTTACAAAGACTTTGTAGGAGCCCTTTTCTTGATAGGCTGCTATGTGTACATGTGTGCACATGAGTATGCTTCTGAAATGAAGCTTGGATGTGGGTTTGAGTCTGCTGTCATCTTTTTTCCTTGTCAACTCTATTCCAGAAATGTTAAGTTAGCCTTCTTTCACTAGGAAAAGCTAGTTTAGAATATGAGTTTTTAAATGAAAACTGGAAATATCAGGAGCCACTGACTGCATAGGAACTTTGGAAACAAGAGAAAGCTTCCTTGGATGTTTTATAGGATAGAAGAGCAGAGCACTGATCATCTGTAATAAAATTAAGTGGATAATTTTAACTTCCTTGAATGTGCTCATGTGGCACTACTCTCTCTTTCATAACTTGTTGCTACAGTTGTAATTAGTGATGTAATTATTGGGTTAATGTCTAAATTCCTGCTACATTTTAAGTTCTAAGAGGACAGGCTTTTATTCCCCTTTGAATACTCAGCACCTACTACAGTGCCTTGCACGTGGGAGATATTTACTGAATAAATAACAGATGAAAGAATAATATACAATCCAAAGGACAGTATCTTTTGTCTTTGAACCACCAAAGCCTAAGAGAGTGCTTGGGATGTTTGGGATGGTAGGAAGGGTGGGAGGGTCATCTCCATCCCATGAACTCAGTGTAGTTGGACTTCAGGTTTCCTGATTAATATCATCAAAGGGCAAATTTCTTCCTATTAGCAAAAGATGTGAACAATAAACAGAATGCCATCTAATTTAATTTGAGTGGCAAAGAAAGTGACTAACGAGGCATTCTGCTTTTGGGTGGAGGAGGACACTATAAGTGCTACCTAGAAATGGCTTTAGTTACTTTGGTGACTGTTACAGTCTTGTGAGAATAATTGCCTCTTAATAAGGACAATTACTTAGATTTATTACTCCTCCGTGGTCTTGTTAAAGATCTAAGAAGAATCCTATTTAAATGGAAAGGACAATAGGAGCTTTTAAACAGAGAGCAAGATTTAATTAAAACCTGAGCATAGGATTGGTACCTCTGTGGCTGGGTAGAAAAACTGGGTTTAAAAGAAAAAAAAAGAAAAAAGGGAGTAAATAAAGGATGGCACCTGCTTTGCCTACTTTTGAGAAAAGAAGTCCATTTTGAATGAAAAGCCTCCAAAAGGCATATGTATTCAGATTATACAAAACACTTCTTTTTTTGAAGGTGGGCTTTGGAATCAAGTCCTCATTTAGTGGAAAATCCTTTTGGCTTGCAATAAGGAGTTCTGTTACCTGCTGGGTACCTGATCTAAAAGGCAAAATTGGGTAATCAGTGGGAATCACTGAGGTAATGTGCAGCAATATTTTAATAGTACTTTAGAGTATTTCCAGAAAGGAACATAGACCTATAATTCTCTCAAAGAGACACATTGTCCCAGAGAGTCTCACCCCACAAGCTGAAGTCCAGGATTCTTCCTGCTCAAATAATAATGAGATCTGTTTGGAAGCCCCCAGATCTCTGGGTCTGGGGAAATGCCATTAAAAAGAATTAACATCCCATGAACTCCCCAAATAAAAATATGGACTGAAAGAACATAATGGGATAGGTGGCCCAACACTGAAGGGAGATCCTATAGCAGAGATAGGGCTTCTCAGCTGCCCCATGTGACTGGTGCTCTCCAGTTGGAGTGGCACATAAAATATGGCTGCCTGTTTGTTGGTAGCATTATTCTGCTCTAAATAAATAACCAGCAGCCATCATTTAGATGCATTTTGGGTGACCATGACACATGGGAACTCATCTCATCAAACCTAAGCCAGAAATATTTTCCCATTAAATTATATTATTGAAAACAATGCAGGAACAAGCATGGAATGGGATGGAGGTAAAGGGGCCCTTTCTTGGCTTATGGGGTATGTTCTGATTTTATGTCACCCTAGTGGTCAACAAATGTCATACCAAGAACAGATGAGCACTAAATGTATCTCTTCTTGTGATGATTATAACAAGACTGTAAAATGGAAAACAGTAAATATAACTCATCCTTATTAAGACTCTCTGGTATTTGTTTCCAGCTAGTCCTCCTAACAAGAGAGTAAACAATACTTGGTCTCTTGCGATTGCTAATTAAAATGTAATAAATTATGGAATCAATTTAAATTCTGGATCAGCTCTACAATGGGTTCAATAAACCTCCTAAATTTTATTTTTCTCCTGGGGTCCTTTTTCCATGAAGTAGGGATGTGCATGTACCTGGCCTCTCTTTTGTTTGCGGTTTAATTGCTCTGGCAGCTTTTCTCAAGCAAGATGGCCAATAGCAGGACAAATCCCAGGATTTTGACATGTATTTTCCCTGGCTGAGTTACCTCAGGCAAGGCTAGGACAAGACTTGTAGTTGCTGCCTGAAGTTATTCAATGACAGTGGCTTTGTCAGCTCACCTAGAACAACCAAACAGCCTGTGTTTTGCATAGTCATGTCTGGGCTCAGCAAGAACAATAAGGATGAGGTTCTAGTTTCATGTGGCTGCTATTTGAAGGCAGGCTGTTTGTCAGCAAGGCCCAGTGAGAAGCCAATGCATCTTAAAAGGGGGGTATACTTTTATTTTGAGGCTATTCTGAGTCTACTAGACTCTACAAGAAAAAAAACTATTCTAACAATGATTCTCTGGGAAGAGCAAAGTTACTTTGCCCAGGCATGGCAGTGGCTCTTTCCGACTCTCAAGGAACAACTTGCTGTAATCGGAAGTACTAACTCCAGACACTAGGTAGGCAGTGTTGCCAGAATGGAGTTCTTTGTAAGGCTTTGCTGACTGTTTTCACATTGCATCAGCTAGGACAGGAGAAGGGTGGAGAGGAGTGTGCGTGTGCGATGGTGTATGTGTGTGTGTTCCAGCCAGAATACAGTCAAGCTAGGCTTGCCCTTGAGCAGAGCCCGAGACACAGTTCCAGGTACTATTACAATTTAGCTCAGAGCTGAGACACAAGCCAAACTGTGAAGAATATGCCTTCTTCCCTTCTGCCTTCTTCAGACAAGCAACATTAATCACTTCATTTTTTGCTCCCTTAGAAAAAAATCCTTGACCGTAGAAGATATGCCATCCTCTCACCAGTTACCCAGCCAGAACCCAGGAGAATTAACTTCTGTCCCAGTTCAATATGTGAAGGGTTCTTAACCCAACTCCCACTGTTGCCCACCCAGTAAATACTTCATAGACATTTATTAGCTGTTTGTGAGTATCATAGCTCATTTGTGGTGCTATAAGAAAATATCATAGCATAGGTAATTTATAAAAAATAGAAATTTATTTCTTTTGGCTCTTGAGGCTTGGAGGTCCAAGATCAGAGTACCAGTAAGTTTAGTATCTGCTGAGGGCTGCTCTCTGCTTCCAAGATGTTACTTGTTGCTGCATCCTCAAGAGGGGAAGAAACGATGTCCTCACTTGGCAGCAGGGCCAGAGGGTAAGACAGTGCTCCCCTCAGACTCGATTGAGCCCTTTTACAAGAATGCTAATCGCATTATAAAAGCTCCATCCCACATAAGTGAATTACCTTCCAAAAGCCACACTTCTTAACACTGCTGCATTGGGAATGGGTTTTGGAAGGAAGAGCAGCAAGGGAAAGGACATTTTCACCTTACAGATAAGTCCTTTGCTTACTTTAAAAGTCATTAATATGTAGGGGAATAAGTATGGACTTTACAATAAGAGTTGGGTTGGAGCCTTTGTCTCTTATTAACTACATATTCTTTCTTTCTTTCTTTCTTTCAGTACCGGGGATTGAACTCGGGACCTTGCACTTGTGAGGCAGGCGCCGGAACCGCTGAGCTAAATCTCTGGTCCATTAACTACATATTCTTAAGGAAGTTATTTTGCCTTATGTAAAAAATGGAATTAATAATAATACCAGGGCTGGGGATTTAGCTCAGTGGTTCCACCACCTGCCCCACAAGCGGAAGGACCCGAGTTCGATCCCCGGAACCAAAACCAAAACCAAAACAAAACAAAACAAATAATGTCTAATAGTGCAGAGCATTTGTGAGTGAGCCCCGGTAGGTATCTAATGCCTCTCAAGAAGGGAATATACTTTTATTTTCTGGATGTTTTGAGCCCAGTAGTCTCTACAAGAAATAAAACTATTATAGTGTTTAAGCAAGTTCTTGTGTATAAAATGCCTAAAATATCTATTTCTCACACAATAAATGTTAGGTACAACAATTTTGTTGTCTATTTTGTTAACTTTCTTTTTATATCTATTTATCATTTTATATGTTTGAAAAATCCTTAAATATAACCTGCTCCCATGCCGACTGCCCTCGTATATTTCCTTAAAGGCATAGCATGACAAGATATTCCCAACAGTGAGAGGGTGGCTGTTTGTGCCTGAGGGAATACACACACACACACACACAGCACATACACATGCACACATAGCACATACAGTACACACAGAGGCAGATGGATTGACTTTCCAAATGCCTCAAGCTTTAGACTATTGCCATAATTAAGAAGAGGTGTGTCCAGAGTAAAAAAATACTGATAGGATCCACATGCAATGCATGATGGGAGATGTATTCCTCCCTGGGCTGTTAAAAAAAAATGGACTCTAAAGAGTTCAGTGGAGGTTCATCAGAGCATGCCACTCCTGTAAGAACCATTCTGGACTGCACTTTACTTAAAGAAAATGTCAGAGATAATCAAAGAAAGCAGTACCTGCTATTTCTTCAACAATATACCCTTGTGTGTAAGAAGCTTCCTTTTCTCTTGTGGACTATACTGAGGGGGTGCTTTCACTTATCCAGGTCCCAGAGTGGCTCCTGCCTCACCTTACCTCTGGCATTCTTTAGTTTAAAGAGGTTAAACAGGCCGAATCCCCCGCTGCAGACAGGCGGGTCTGCCCACGCCCTGCCGAGGTCCTGAGTCCCACGGAAGACGCCGAATCACCCCGCTGCAGACAGGCAGGTCTGCCCATGCCCTACTGAGGTCCCCAGTCGAGCAGAATATGCCGAATCAGCCCGCTGCAGACAGGCAGGTCTGTGCAAGCCCTACCGAGGTCCCGAGTCGTGCGGAAGATGCCGAGTCACCCCACTGCAGATAGGCAGCCACCTGGTTCCACACTACAAAGATGCAGAGGACACCAGACCAAGGTACTGAGTGCCGCTGCTCCCGGCCCAGAGGTAGGGGCTACTGAGCCGCTGTCGCACTGCTCCTGGTCCAGAGGAAGGGGCTTCCCAGTCACCATCCCTCCCGCTGCTCCCAGCCCAGAGGAAAGGGCTTTTGGGCCACCTTCTGTCCCGCTGCTCCTGGCCCAGAGGAAGGGGCTTCCCG